TAGACTAAGTGTTTATATATTCATATTTTAAAGTATATGTCGTGTCCAAGTATTCTTCTGTCTTCAGATGATGATATTGAGACTTAGTATTTCCTATTACTTTTATATGAAAGAGTTTTTGAAGACTAAATTATGTTTTGTGAAAAGTTTTAATTCTACACTACTTTTCACTATGTTTATGCGATGAACGATATGAAAGGGATTATCTAAGACCTTTGAGAGGTAGAGTACACCGGTTACAATCCGATATTGTACCCTAAATTCTATGGTGTGGTCTTGGGATGTGACAATGTAATGACATATGTCAAAGTCCTGGTCATAGACCCCCGAGAGGTCGATGACGCCATATGGCGATTTGAGGATACCATAACTTTTAGGGTATACCCTCAAGTCGTAACACATTAATACTTTATGGACATGTAATCTACATGCATAGTAGTAGACATTAGTGCATATGAGAATTATCCTTTCATTAGACACCATGAAGCTATACTACTTATAAGCATGCATGAGGATTGTGTGTTGATTGTACCACATGTTTTCATAATGGAAAAAATCCTAACATTGAGGCATCCACCTTACAAAAGTCACAATACACACTCGAGTCCCTGAAAGCATCGACAACATACATATAGAGTAATAGGAGCTATTGAGAAAACAGAACAAGATTATAACATAGGAGACAAGACATCTTTATTACTTGAATCCAGGACTCCTAACCATGCTTAAGACCACACATTCATGTAGAGGTTCAATGGTATAGATCATACTCCACAAGAGTATTTAATCATCAATATGTAGATTATACCTAGCCCTTATATAGTCATTTAAACGTATAGGAAGCATCATCAATACCTTATTCATGAACTAGTATTGAAGACAAGGCATAATACTTCGCATTATGTTATCATCATAAACACATTTTAAAGATACAATTGACTTCAAGGCCATGATAAACACATATAAAGATTAACAATAAGATAAACACCTCCATCATAAGTGGACAATACCACACAATTCCATACAAAGCCAAGCATCTAGCAATTCTATATAAAAGTAGAGAGAATAGGCCAAACCTAGAATTACTCCAAGCTTTGATAATCATTGATCAATTCCCATAATATTAAATCAATACATGTATAAAGAAGTATATAAACGTACCATTACATAAAGGAATTCATACTACAAACATTATGCCTTCAAGATCAGATTAGGTACACTACTTCATGAAGTCTCTAGAAGTAGAGGAATATTGATCAATTTACTCAATCCCTAAACCTTGATCATCATAGATCAATCATCAACAATTCATATTCAATTAACACGAGTAGAAATAGTACTAGGCGATTCAACATAATTGAAACATAATTCAATCAACATAGAGTTAAAATCACAAGACCTACATTATTGGCCAATTTGAGAATTTATAAAATTTGATTGAAATTCATATCTAAAACAGTAGATAATCATTAATTTATCATAAACATGCCTTTGAAAAAAATTTGATAAAGAACCCATCACCAGATTGTAAATTGGGAATTTTGGTCTTTGAATCACTTTTGAAAATCCTTAATTGAACTCCTAAGATGAATGGATAACTAAGGATGAAGGATCACCATACCTTATTTATTGAATACCACTAAGAAATTTGAGATGAAACCATAAAAAACTAGCCTCTACCTTGAAGTTGAGTTTTCCCTTCAATGGAGGTTTGAGAGAATTTTGAGATGAAGATATCATTTTATTATTAGGTTTTAGGGTGTTGAGTTTTAAAAGGGGTTAAATAAGGGTTTAGGTTTTAGTTTTTTTAATTACCCTTTGATAGTTAGGGGCTGAGCAGCACCCCCAACCCTTAACATTAATAACTAAAACAAAATACACGGAGGGGGGCATAAACCAAACCTCCAAAAAAATGATGGTTTGGAGTCCACATTACAAAAGTAAAGTCAACTCCTCACCTTACACAAAACATGATTCAAAAATACTAAATACCTAGAAGAGATGACTCCTCTCTTTACATAGTATCTCAAAATCATAAACATGGGAGACTCTCCCTTTACATTTGCAAAAATTATAAACAAAAAGCTAACCTATTCAAAGAAGCTAAGTTGAAAAGATAAAGTCATGGAGGCTCTTTAAATTTCTTAGTTTTCTTCCTCCTAAAACATGGCATTTCCATTAAGTCCAGCTGATAATATGCCCTCGCTTCTTTAGGTAGATGTTGGTGGCTGAAATATACCTGAGGATTGGTTGTTTGATCGATGTGTTTGGATAGTGCATCAATAACCCAATTCGCCTCCCTATAGACATGTGTGCATTTGAAATTCTGGGTCTGGATGATCAAGTTCTGCAACCTGCCTAATTGAATTATGAAGTTCCATTGAGGGGTTGCCTGTTGGTTTATCCAATTAACAACCAACTGTGAATCCATCTCCAATATAATGTTCTTGTATCCTAGATCCAAAGCCCAAGTAAGACCAAAAATAGCTGCCTCAATCTCTACTTTATTGTTTGTTCCTTCCCCAAGAGTTGTTGCAAAGGCCATTAACAGCTGGCCCGATTTATCCCTCCAAATGCCTCCAGCCCCCAGTCTCCCCAGATAGCCAAGAGCATTGCCACCAGTGTTGATCTTTATCCACTAATCTGTGGGTTTGTTCCAAGCTAGTAAACTTATCCTGGTGTCTTGGATACATGTTTCATATTTCTGGAACAATTCTGTCCACTTGGCTGGCCAGGTGATATGGAGAAATGTTATGCTCAACATCTTGTAGCTGTCTTTGTAAATTGCATATTTCACCCTGCTGATATTTGTTGATTTACCCCCATATTTGAGTTCACATCTAATCTTCCATAGATTCTAGCATATGAAGATAGGGGTGGCTTGAAGCAACATCTTGTGTGCTGCGTTGTTTGCCTTTGTTGTACACCAGTGTTGACGCTGTTGTTGTAGTGAGTGGCAGCCTTGTTCAATCCCTGCTGTGGCTGCAAAATTTCTCCACACTTTGGCAGAAAACTTGCCTGAGGTGAAGGTGTGTTGAATGCTATCCATACCTGCATTATCAATACAACAAAAACACTTTGATGGCTCAATACCAAAATAGTTAATCTGTCATAAGTGGAGAATTTACCTCTAAGGGTCCTCCAAAGTAGAAAAGAAGCTTTAAAGTGGATGTTTTTATTCCATAACAGAGAGTTAAAGTGCTGCTTCTCCCCTTATTCCTGATCTCCTTCCAAGCTGAAGAACAAGTGAAGTTGCCTTGGTTATTGAGTTTCCAAACTGCCTGATCAGTGAGGTGCTGTTGGGGAGGAACTTCCGTTGTAATGATTTTGGATAAGTGGCTGGCTGGTGCCTATTTAATCAACTTGTTCCAATCCCATTTCCTTCCTTCCCAGAATCAGCCACTGTTTCTTTGTGGAATCTGTTACTATTGCTAGAAAACTGTGCAAGTGGACAATCTCCAAGCCAATTATCCCACCAAAAAGAGCAATGTCCAGCTTGTAGCTTTAATTGGATGTGTTGTTCCACATGTTCTCTGTTCATCAGCATGTTCTTCCATGTCAGAGAATCTCCTGTATGCCATTTTTTGCTAATAGGATTGGATCTTTGGTAGTATTTTTTTATTAAGAATTCACCCTAAAAGGTTTGTTTGGTTCTTAAAATCCACCACCGATTGAATTGGAAGGCCATACAGGTATCTTTCAAACTTCTCATGCCTACTCCCCCTTCCTAATATGGAAAGCTAAGATGCTTCCATGATGACCAATGGTATATCTTCCTCCCATTCTTCCATCCCTAAAATAATTCTGCCATTAACATTTGGATCTGTTTAAGCACAGAGGATGGAGGAGTTATTGCAGATAGAAAATGTATGGGTATAACCTGTAAGACATGCTTTGTGAGGACTGCTTTCCCTCAATAACTAAGTTGTTTAGTTTGCCATCCTGTAATACTGCATAAAACTTTGTGAACAAGATCAGAAAAATAAATATTTCTAGGCCTACCAACAAATAAAGGGCAACCTAGGTAAGTAAGGGGGCCCTGTTTTTGCTTGAAGCCTGTGAGTCTTGTAATTCTATCTCTTGTTCTATTGATAGCATTAGAGTGTTGCATAAAGTGACTCATGTCTTCATTGATGAGTTATCCAGAAGTCTCTTAATATTCATTTAAGGTTTTCATAAGAAGCTTCAAGGTTTTGTGCCTTCCAGAGGTGAAGAGTATTATATCATCAGCAAAGCTCAAGTGATTTGTCCCCTTCTCTCCATGAAGAATCCATAATAATCTTGATGATCATGTAACCTGTTAAGAGACACGGATAAGACTTGTGCACCTAAAATAAATAGTGCAGGGGATAGAGGTTCACCTTGTTTGAGACCTCTTGTAGAGTGGAAGAAACCATACCTCCTACCATTGACAATGATAGAATACCAATTTTTAGCCATGATTCTCCATACCATATCGATGAATCATTCTTCAAACCCCATTTTCCTTAGAACCAAACAAATGTAGGACCAAGAAATTCTGTCATATGCCTTTGCCATTTCTAGTTTTATGATGACATTACTCCCAACATTGGGTTTCTTAATACGGTGGATGATTTGCCGATCAAGCATAATTTTCTCAGAAATACTTCTACCTTTAACAAACCTGGATTGATTGGAAGAAATAAATGAAGGGAGGATAGGTCTAAGTTTGATACTCACTATTTTAGAAATAATCTTGCTAGTGAATTACTCAGACTTATAGGCCTGAACTCATTTAACTTGTTTGGATTACTAACTTTAGGGAGCAGGACAATACAAGAATGAGAGAAATATTTAGGAATCATCTGTCAACTAAAGAAGGCCTTAAAAACTCCCACTAAATCATCCTTGATAATATGCCAACATTTCTGAAAGAAGTAGCCATTCATACCATCAGGACCAGCTGCAGAGATAGGATTCATAGAGAAAATCACACCTTTAAGCTCCTCCATATTGGGTTAACTGGTTAGATAGTTATTTTATTCTCTGCTGACCATCCTTGGAATGCATTCCAAGTTATTTTCATTGATAAGCTTCTCCTCACATGTAAAGATCTCCTCAAAGTGAGCACAAGCAGTCTGGGCAATCTCCTCCTCATCTTGTATCCATTTCCTCTCTTCATTGATAATCTCGTGCACAAATAATTTCCTTTTTTTTCCTCTTATAATGGAATGGAAGTATTTAGAATTTTTGTCACTATCTTTGAACCACTGAAGTTGGGTTTTCTGTTTCAAAATAGTATCCTCCAACTTCAGGAATTTGATGTATTTAACATTCATTTCATGTAAGGAACTTCTGTTAGCATCATTAAGGTGAGTAATGTAATCCTCCTCTGCCTTATGTACATGTTCCCTATACATTCTGACATTCTAAAAAATATCCCCAAACTCTTCGTTTGACCAAGTACTGAGGTGTTGGCCAGCCTCTTTAGTTTCTGATGAAATCTCCACATACCAATACCATCCACCTCTTTATCCAAACATGTCTGCACAGTTTCCATAAAATTAGGGCTATCTACCAAACAATAGAGGAACTCGAAGTACTTGGTATGATTTGAATCATTGAAAATCTTTTCCATTAACAGAGGACAGTGATCTGAGCCAATAGAAGACAGGGTAGTGATAGTGGTTTGAGGCATACTTTCAAGACAAGAGTCATTAACCATAGCCCTGTCAATTCTCTTCCAAATTCTATAGTTAATACCTCTCTTAATGGACCATGTGAATTTGTGGCCATTAAATCCAATGTCCACAAGACCACATGCTTCAATAACTATTATAAAATTCATGCTCTTCCTCATATTGTAAGGAGACCCTCCTAGTTTTTCCTCTACTGCAGTAATAACATTGAAGTCAGCTACTGCACACCAGGGATTGGTATCCTCATTAGCCTGTTGAAGCATCTTGTCCCATAGAGGTCTCCTCAAATAATCCTTGCACTTTGCATAATCAAAAGTAGTAATGAACTATTTCTGTAACTCATTGTGTTTTATGTCGCAAGTGATTTGTTGTTCATCTTCATCAAGAATGTTACAGTCCACAACACTGCTCCAGAAAACCCAAATCATGCCATTAAAGTTACTCGTTGCAATTTCCATATTCAATTGAACTGAAATTCTATACATGAACAATATCTGAGAAAGGTTCCAAGATAGTAATGATTGATAATTGGTGGAGTTTCCTGTGCATTTTGAGTCTCTCCAACACCCCTTGGGTGTTGATCCCTCTCACATTCCAAATGATTGTACGAATCATTGGGAGGATCTAGAAGAGAACAATCTAGTATTTTGTATGAGTGCTGTGACAGTGTGGATGTCTTGATTCTTGAAGTGGAACTTTTCATGTTTGAATCTCCTTGGATATAAGCCTTGCTTTTTTGACACCTGTTGAAGCTCATCTTCTAAGACCTTATATTCGAGGGACTGAAGGATTTAATCAAAGCCTCACTAGTCTCATCCTCATCATTCAGATCGTCTTGAAACTGATTGTCTCTATCTAATTCATCTTCAGAAATATTCACAAAATACTCATCAATCAAAGGTATAATTGAGGCCTCTTATCAGGTGGTTCTGTTGGAGAAGGAGTCATGAATCTAGTCTGTAAAGGTATAATGTCTAAACCCTGACTGTCATTGATCATCACAAATTTTTTACATGGTTCCTCCCCTTTTCGTTGATATTGTTCCTCCTCACTGTTCTGCTGTAAACTTTGTCTCCTCTTAGCAGCATCCCTTTTTTGTTGCTTGGTTTGTTTTTCCTCTTTGCTGTGTTTTCAAGAGTACCATTGTCAATCTGCTTCCCTTTATCATTTGTTTTTACCCTTATCCTCTCCTTCCCCAACTTCATTTTTGTCTTGTCATTTTTTCTTATTATTTTCTGATTTCTGTTTTCTGATTTTTGCACTGTGCACCTGTTGTAAATTATGTTATGATTCCTCTTGAGTATGTTTATGCCTAGTACTGTTAGAGTCTCTAAAGTCTTATCTAAGGTCAGTGTTCACCCCCTCATGCATAACATGAGGAAAATCCCCCCCCCCCGCTTTGGTACCCCTTTCCGGCAGGTTAGTAGGTTTATCTGACTCCTCTCTTCCATACCTCCAAGAACTTCTTCATTCACATTCAAAACATCTAAGGAATTGGGTTGCATAGCGATGATACATGATTTTTGGAAATTTGGATTCTGATCAATTGTTCTTGTGATCCTGATGCTTTTGTTTCTATTTCCTTGTGAGTATGTCTTATTCCTTTCTTGTTGCTCCTTTTGATTTCTTGCATGAGGTTCCCGCATAGACAGATTACTGGCAGGAATATATTAAAAATTATTGAGGTTACCTGTTTGCTGAAATGTGTTATGTATTTGTTTATTTGCTGGCTGAATAGATTGATGAACTGGTTTCCATGTAGTCTTATTGTTTTTCTCCTAGTGTGTTCTGGAATTTTTCCTCCACTTATGTGACATTCTTCTTCTTTTTGTTGTTCTGTTTGTTTCTTATTTCCCTTATCATTGTTGTTTTGTTTTCTTTTTTCCTCATTATCTTTCGATTGTGCTTGAACATTTTCCTTCCCTTTTTGATTTTGTTGTTCCCCGTTTTTTTCTTTTTTCTCTTTTTCCTTTTCCATCCTTTGTCTATAATCCTCATCTCTCATCTTTATGTTGCATTACTCTATCTCATGTCCTTGATGTCTGCAATACTCACAATAATGTGGGATATTTTCATATTCCATAGGATACCAAATCCCTACAGTATCATCCTCGTTGTCTAAGACAATCCACACATGCCTTGGCCTGGGTTTAGTCAAGTCAATCTGCATTTTTACTTTTGCCATACTCGCTCTAGTTCTAGTAATAGAGGCAGTGTCTATGTACAACACTTTGCCTATATTTTCTAGAAGAGGGATAAGGAAGGGCTTTTTAAAGCAATGCCATGGAAGCCCTGGTAAGAGAATCCAATTGGAACGATGGGAGTTTCTTCCTCAGGTGTAAGGAAAGGTGTTCAAGATTATAACCTCATCAGCTTACCCTCATTGGTCATCCTTTGTTGAGTCCAAAAAGTGTTTTAGTCTAACTCATTTTTAAGATCAATAAACACATGCCTAGAGTTATAGTGAGCTATACTAGCCCCCCACTTAATTGGGTTTGTTGGATAAAGCTCTTCCTAATGAGCTCCATTTTAGGCATTGTTACACTGAACTTCCCCACCAAGTTATATTTACAATACACAACTAAGGTATGAAAAAAGTCATACATGTCAAAGATGATTGCTGGTTGTTCTTGCTTGGTAGTCTGTTTAGGAGAGTTTTGAGAACTATGGTGGGCTCTTGGGCAGCATCAATGTTTCTCAACCTTGCAGCCAATGTTTGAACCACAGTGTAGGGAGCAGGTTCAGGGATTTTTTCATGATGGCTGTTTTGATGGCTTTTAGGAAGATTGTTTTCTATATCTTTTTGATGGGTGTAGGCTGGGCTTGCTTTTTTGAGGAGGATTTTGTTTATCAAAATTGCTGGAGATTTTTGGAAAATGTCTATGATAATTGGTTTGACCTTTATTCCCCCCCCCATTACTCTGATTTGTTTTCCCCTAATCTCCCTCCTTTTTCCACTGAAGGTGCTCATTTCGAATCCTATATTTATTAGTTGTAATGACCTATTTAGTCGTTTTGAGCAGCAAACTTAATTCTGGAAAAACTGGCAGAAGCGACGGACCCCACGACGAACCGTCATGGGCACGACGGACCGTCGCAGAGTCTCATTTCAAAACACTTAGAAAATCTGAAATTGGGTACTGAAAATCGACTCTCTGAACTTCGTAACGGAATGGCAGGATGGACCGTCACAGACTCTTCAGAGAAATTGAGTCTCTGAACTCTGTGATGGGCAGCAGGACGGACCGTCGCAGGCGCGATGGGCCGTCACAGATCGTGTAATCCCAGTCTGGGTCGGATTTCTTGATA